GAATAGTATTGCATTTTGAGTAGCTGGGTTTAAGTAGTTCTTCGTTCAAATAAATTTGATTTTTATTGTACTTCAACATTGGTTACTGAAAACTTACATTGAAAATGTAAGCCAAACAGAATTACTGTTCATTAAGGTAAGTCTGTGTCATTCCTAGTGCAGTATGAACAACAATAATTACACTTACAGGCTTCTTTATGCATTTAGATGATTGACCCTCATGCAATTGATTTCAAGGTAAGTGGTAGTTCTCACTTTTTGGTGGCCACATCTCTCCCTATGCATTTAGTCCTCTTTCTGACACCAAATTATGCTGAGGAATAAGCAACTGAGTCATTGATCAACAGAGTGAGTGTATTTCTGGTTGTCTTAGAATGCAAGCTTCATAAACTAGTTACCCATGCCACTTTATCTTCTACAGATAGCACTGTTTGTTTTGTCTTGTTTCTATGTTGGTCGCATTAAGAAAGAGTGCTTGCCTTTGTCATTATTGTGCTTCCTGTCTGCTGAATCCAGCCATATGTCCTGGTCACATTATTTTGGGATGCAAGTTCAGTCCTTGTCATTTCTCCTGGTACACTGGGAAAGGAGAGCAAGGTGTATGCAGAAGGTTGCAGCATGCTCCCAAGGGATCTCTTTTACAGCTTGCGCAATAGAACAGCCTTGTGATGATCATGAAGTCTTTGTCCCAAAAATAAATAAAATTAATCACTCCTGAAGTTTGCCTAGTTACTGTTCTAGTTTCTGCAGAGATATTTATTGGCCTTTTGAGGAACAGTTCCTTACTGATAAGCAAATTAATTGATTTTGCAAAGTCTCCTAGTTACTGGAACATTTATTTCACCATGAGGTATATTGAATGGAGCCACACATACATATATACTGTGTTGCATTTTCTTCTCTGTAGTACCAATCTAAGCATTTTGCAGGGACAAACCCTGATTTAGATAGACTTCATTTTAGAAAAGGACTTTTCTAAATTCACAGAAACTTGTTACCTTTGTCACTTACGGAAATAAATTATGCAAACCCATTTACTGCCACATTTTGCCTACTAATGAAGAATGAGTGTCACACACTTGAATAAATTTTACATGTGTATTGGAATTCCACTGATCTCTGGACAACACTTAAATAATTGGATCCCATAGGTCTGCCTTTTTTTTTGCATGCCCAAGTTATGGCCCGCAATTTAAAGTTGTGTTAAAATGTGTAAAATCATCACATAAACAGGAGATAATTGTGATTTTGCTGTCAAATTCTTTCATGAGTCTATTTAACTCAGTTTAAATACACCTAAAAATAATGAATTTGTTAGCATAAAAAAATAGTAAGATAGTCAAAATGTTATGTAAACTGCTGTTTTACTTTTGATTCAGGTAGTATTTAAAATGTAAGCATATGTGATACCAATAATGCTACATTTAACTGTGTAATGCAATCTATCTCAATTTTCTGAAACTTCTGATACAAGTATAAAAAAGGCATCTCCAAGTAAATTTTGGGATTGTCTTAGTATAAAATGCACTAAGTACCTTTGTAAAGGGAAAAGACACAGTAATTATAGCAGCCACAATAATTACAGTGGTTCCAGAAAGCCTACATCATCAACAAAAGATAAAATTAGGAAAGCTGCTTAGAACACCAAATTGTGTTCACATATATGTTCAAGGCTCATAAAAACGTGAGAACTTTTCTTTCTTCAAGGATTTGAAGAAATAAAAGTTAGATGATAAAATTTCTGAATTCCTTAGGCATAAGTTCTTATGAAGCTGAATGTAAGAAACATTGTTCTTGTCATGCTGGAAAATTGTACATAGGACTTTTGATAAGGATGTGTGTCATATGTCCTTGTGATAGTCTGTGCATGGGTATGCATATGTATGACGGAATGTTGAAACCACGCTGGTAATATCTATTGAAAATAAAATTTCTACATGGTTGCCAAGATCTTTTCCTTTTTTTTTTTTTTAATAATCCATAATAACGAGAGTGTACATTTGTATAGGTATGAGTAGTTGAAGGTGTCATTGATCAAGCTTATATCGATCAAGTTGAACCTATCAGCTTTGGAGTTCTGTGGTGAGGAATGGATGGCATTGCTGGAATAATTAACTAAAAAGTTAATAAAAATATTAATAAAGTAATGAAAAGGTGAATGTTTTTTGGCACAAAATATAGCAAAATGGTGGAAAACACTGCAAGCAGAATTCTCTTCTTAGCAGTTGATACTCTTCTCTCCGCCCTCCCCCTGATCTTTACCAAGCTGTCTCTTCTTGCTCTCAGGAAACTGTAATGGATCCCTCTTTTCCCTTCTAAATCAAGTCCTGCTTTTTGAACCTGCCTCTTCATTTCTTTTCTTCATGCTTTCTCAAGCAGTACTACCAGGGAACTTCCTTATGCTCCTTTAAAAACATTTCTGAAGACCAACCGGTTCTGTGAACTGTTTTAGCCATAAAGAACACGCCCCATATGTGTTTGTTCTGATTTATCTTGCTCGGTACTGCTCTACTTTTGTACTTTGTACTTTAAACTGGGGCAGGGAACATTTGTTTTATCAATATATAAATGATATAATTAAATGAAGACTGACATATAGAGGGTTTTTTTTCTTCTCTTTTTTAAAGTTGAAAATAAGTGCATAATGTGTATCAAAATGTGTGGCCATAGAAGTTATTCCTGTTTTCAGGGATAACACAAAGGATACTTAAAATGTCTGACATCAGGGAAATAAGAGACATTTTAAAATCATATATTTCATACATATTTTGCTCCTTTCTCTACAAGAGGCAAAAAATATTTTATGGAACAAACCAATATAATATATTACATGCAGCAGATGTTATTCTTCCATTGTTATAGTTAAAAAGCAAAAAGTACAAAATGAAAGATCTTGTAACTGGGTAGAAACACCCTATAGAAACAAGCTAGTTAGTTGACTCATGGTTAGACAGGAAAAGAATATTCAAATCAAAATACAAATGAGGATCTTGGATCTTAGAGTGTCCTCAATTTAACCCACATGGCTGCATTTCTACTCTGCTTGATCATTTTAGTTGTTCTTATTCCAGTCACTAGCATGTATTGCTGAAATGTTTTAACTTTCAACTATGGATTAAGTCATTAGGTCATTTATGCTGAACTTACCTATACAATAAACTATGTAAACTTACTTTTTTTTCAGGGGCAGTAGCTTGATACCTAAACATTTAGATTTGTAAGACTTGGATTCAAGTTTTTCTGCTACTTGAAGTGGTTCGAACACACCTGTGGTCTGCTTCAGCCCAATAACTACTAATAAGACAAAAAGAATAGCAGAAGGTGGTTCTCAATGCCTTCTGTTTGAAGCTCTTGGCATTGAAAAAATTGTTTGGGAATCATTCTAGGTTAGGATATTTACCTGTACATTAAATATCTTCAAGATTTGCTGATCAGAAATGCTAAATGCTAAATTTAAAGATGAATCACAGAAAAAAAGTGTTTCTTAGATGGACTTAATTTTTTCTCGTGATTACTAAGTATCTGTGCTTGAAAATTTGACAGGTGGATGGCTGCAACTCATATACTGTGTTAAACTAGGAACAAAAATAAAGAGAAATAAGTCATCTAGAATACAGGTAAAGTCTTCTTTCAAATTCCAGGGGTCTGTACTAATAGATATTGAAGTTGCATAGCACTGAGGATGTCACACTCCTGTTACTTCACAGTATGAAGTTTCCTGATGTTTAATTTGTCAGAATATTTCAGAAATTAAAGAGGCAAGAGGAAATGTATCGTTAAATCTCAAAGAAAAGGCAAAGGAAATGGAAAAAATGCAGGTCTCTTATTGCAGAAATTTTAATCTGTGGTCTCAGTTCAGTCCCTTTCAAGAATAAGAAAATTTGACCTTGGATAAAAGATTAACATACAGTGTTATTAAATATAATTTTTTAAAAATATGTATTTTGCATTAATTTTTTAAAAAAATATGTATTTTTGCATTAATTTTTCAATAACTTGTCTCATATATAGCTTGTATTACTTGCCCAGGGGTTCTTTTGTTTGTTTGTTTTCATGGAGGCATTAGGATTCAAGGACTCAGATGTCTTTGTCCTAAAAACTTTTGACAAAAGCAAACTTTTAATTTTCTTATACTGAGCTTTCTTGTTGCATTGACAAATTACAAATGACTGACAGGAGAAAACTCTACACTACATTCTTCAAAGCTTCCTTTTGCTATTTTCCTTGCAGATCTAGATTATAACACTTTGTAAGTATGGTCATAGGGGTGACTTGCTGAATCGCCATTGAATTAGAACTTCACAGGTAGAATACAAGCTGGTCAGAATTTTATTAACCTAGACAGTTGGTCTTTCCTTTGGAGATTAGATCTCCTAGCAGTGTAGTCCAAATTCAAAACAAACAAACCCAAACAAAAAAACAAAACTGAGAAACAAATATTGTGGTCTCACCTGATGAGATAACAGATAATACCAAAGAACTGGTAATAATAATAAAATTTAAAAAAATAAATTTGACAGTCTCATTGAATACACTGAGTTTTAGCAAGTAAGTGCTCTTAAGTGGTGGGCTTTTATCAGGGACAATGGTGAATTTGCCTATGTTAAAAGCTCGGATTGCATGCTTGATGAAGAAAATGTGGAGCTCTTGGTTGAACAAGTTTTCTTGAATCACCAACAAATGGCAATTTATTTTCTAATGCAGGCCAGCTGCATCTCAGACTGACCTCCTGCAGATGCAGCTCTACTGCTTTGGGCACAAAATTGTTACACCTACCTGGATTTCATTGGGTTTTATAGAAAGAAAATTTTGTCTGGTATTAACCTGAGTACCTCTACACAGTGATGTATGTCTTGAATAGACAAGTTAAAAGATGAACCATGCACATATTTATTGGTTAGTACATAAGCAGTTACATTGTTATTGTTTCAGTAGCTGTGTTTCCCAGTCCAATAATTCCTGTTCTGTCATATGGCACAATCTGTACAAGCCAAAGGTTGTTAAGTGTATTCCAGCATTAAATAAAGTATGAACACATGAAAGGAGATAATGCTTACCAAGTTAATTTGTATAGTGCTTTCCCAGTCCTTCTCATTGTTCACTCCAGCATTATTAACCACAATATCCAGCCTTCCAAAATGTTCAGTTACTTTTTTGAAAGCACCTGTAGTAGGATCCAAGGGTGAAATTTCTTAGCACTCATGGAAAGTGAGAAATAAAAATACAATGCATGCATACAAATCAATGGTTTCTTAACTACTAATTAACAACATGCAATTAAATTATCTAACAATTCACAAGTATTAAACATATTCAGGAAAACTGAAAGGATTAAGATACTGTAGTTGTTTTTTCATTCAGTTATGCCTTATAACAGGAGCTAATGAAAGTTTTTAGCACCCCACACATTTTGTGTCAGATAGGATGTTTGACACTCTAATTACATAAATTAAGCATTTATAGTTTGATTTGTAACAGTTTGATATAGCTAGTGAATTAAAGATTTGGCACCACCTATTTTAAACGAAAAACGAAAGCTTCATGTGTTTAGAACAATTTTCTTGGTTGAGTCTGAATTGAACCCAAGAATGCAATTCTTATACAGTCATATGACAAATATGAATCTTTAATCTACAAATAATTAATGGTAACTCTTGTTTAAATCTATCCTTTTTTTAATAAATTGTTATACAACCTATTTTTCAGGTAACTTTAATAATGTGTTTCTCAAATTTAAATCTTCTTCCTTCTGTTGATGAAAATAGTGAGCTATCTTTCAAAGAATTTAAAAATACAGAACTGGGAAACTTCCACAATGACATTGTGTTCTCCCAGGTGACAGTGTTTAAACTAAAAGATGTGTATGGAAAAACATGATGATGTCATAGTGATGAGCAAACGCATCTAGGCTGGCTCTGCTTTGACAGGATAGTTGGGTGAGATGACCTCCAGATGTTCATTCTGGACTAAGATTTTCCATGACTGCAGACATTATCTGACATGTATATACAGCTTGTTTGTTTTTCTCCTCCAAATATTGTTCCTCATTACTAAATATTTACTATTATGTAAATCAAGACACCATTCCCCCAACATTGTTTTAAAAAACATCATTTGGTGACTGACTAAAAATCTAACATATTTCAGGTATACTGAAATTATGTTTAACAGGTCTTAATGAAAGCACTTAACTAAAAGGTGATCCCAGGACCATCTTAATTCTCTGATCTGTAGCCTTTGGCTATTGGTGTCAGAGGCATGGCAGCAGCTTTGAGACATCTGCCTTTTTTGCAGCAGTTGCAAGGGTTTACAAAGTTGGTGTTTTTTTTTTCTTTGCACCAGATGGTTGGTGCTGTTACAGCCTTTTCTTTGCTTGAATGCTGCAGGTCCATGACAGTCATCATCCCGCCATCGGAACAAGATCTGGGCAGCTGATGCAAAAAGTTTTATTTGTCCAACTGCCTTTATTGCACAGATATTTCTAATATTCTTATTCTGTAATAAAATATTTAAATATTACTAAAGCCTCTATTTTTGGCTGTCTGCCTTTTTGGCTTTTGTTATGTGTGTTGGTAATTCATTCTCTGGTTTCTCAACTTAACCCTTCAATCACTTCTCATTTTCCCAATCGTGCATCAACAAAGACAAACGAAACCCTTTTGCTTTATTAGTAGCAGAACTGATTATTCAATTTAGTTTTAATGAGTAAAATATATACAATTTTGGTCCTTAATAAGCTTCCAAATTTTGGAAGCTGGCTCTCCGATTCCCTTTTAAGCCCGCTGTAAATAACAACTTTCATCAACCTCATTCTCAATAGAAACTTTTGCCTTCAAAAAACACCATAAATTATAGTACTTTAAAAAATTATTCCTTTATTAAATCCTTTATTAGTCTTGACCAATTGTAGTTTTCTAGTTTACACATTGAGAAAAGTCAAATGCTTTTCAGCTGTTTGCATATCTGTGTTGAAATAAAGAATGATTACCAAATTTGGAATATTTCTGGTAAAAGTTTACCTGCCTACAGTAATGCCCTTTTTTAACTTTATTAATAATTTATTATGAGTTTCTTCTTTCTGTGGCTAGGTATCACCCACACGTCAGTGTAAACTGACTTGTTCTTCCCTTTTCAAATGTAGAATAATTCTGTGTTTACATTGTACACTCGTTGATGCTCATGAAATCATAAAAATTCAGAGCAAATCACCCTATGAAATACAGAATGAAGAAAAGTGAAGAGGATGACCATTTTAAAGAAAAGGTAAGGAAAACAGCAGAAAGTAAGTGCAAATACTAGTTATATGTGAGCTTTCTAAATATTCATGGAAAGCAAAAGTAAATGTATGGTGATTTTTCAAAAGTGGGACAAGATAGAAGATTTTTGTAGAAGACTATGTGAATGAGCCACCAGAGAAAAAAGCACAGGTAATACCTGAAAGCAGATGAAGCAGCTGGTTTGCTATGTATAAGCCTTATGTACCTACAGATACTTGTTCTAGTACTGTGGCTTATTTCATACCAAAAGGGCTAAATTTAAAATGAGAGCAACTTCATTCATGCACATGACCTTTAGCATAAAAAGCAAGTACAGGACTTGACGCATCCACTAAGAACTTTAAACACTAGAAGTGAAATTAATCCAAGTTTATTAAGTGATGCAATTACAAGTGAAAAAATAGGAAAATAAAGCAGTAAAAACCACCTCAAAATCCCAACCAACAAACCCACTAAAAATACCCCAGAAACACCAAAGGACTGTAAGACACCATTGCAAATTTATGCTAAGAAACCTGCATCAAGAATAATAAAAGTCTCAGAAAAGCGTATCAGCAGCTGCCTGGTCTTACTCTTACTCCTGGTGAGAGCCAATTCTTATCCTACTCTGGTTGCTCTTTTTCTACTAACTTGGTTCCCAAACCTCCCTTGCTTACCCATCCCACTCACTCCAGTTCCTCATGCACACCCTCTTGGCCCTGCACTAGCCTGGCACCAAAGGAATCCTGGGAGGTGGGAGAGAAAGTACTGTGGGATAACACCCATGCTGTAGCACATGCTATTCCTACCTCTAGAATACTTTTTCTTGCTCCTAGGTTATTTCTTCCACTTGGAGGAGTCAGTAATCAAGCCAGCTGATAAAAACGCTGCTGATTAGAGCAGATGTCAAATTTAAAGTTCAGCATTCCTCTTACAGACAGAAAATGTAAAACTTTGGAATTAGGCATGATCATGCCAGCTCAAAGCAGTGAACAATGTTGCTGAATTCTGGACTAGCTGCAATGTTTTGTGGTAGAGGAATGCACATGCTCAATCACTACTGTTGAGAATGGGGCCAGTGAAGTGCAGAGAATAAAAGCAGAACTAAAAATGCTCCCATCTAGTCTTACACAAATGAATCTGGGGAAAGGGCACTGACAAGAGTGATTTCAAACTCTGAATTTGAGTAGATACCTATGAAAGTATCTCTTTAATAAAGAAACTTTGCTAAAGTGATGTGCCTGTTATGAAATATTGTGAAGGGTACATCGACATCATACAACATTCTAAGAACTTGGTAGGGAACATGATTTATTCACTAAGTGAAAACATAAGTGCAGATCATACATGACAGAAGCTCCTTGCCATTCCCTGCATCTGCAAAATGTGTGTGAGATGTTATCGATCCATATTTTACACCATGATAAAGCAGTGCCCCATCTTTTGCCAATTCTAATTTCAGCTGCAGCAACACACACTGATAGCAAGTGTCCTGTATGGAAAGAGCACTGCAACCCAGAGCAGAATTTATTACTCCTGTGTTGAGGGAATGCAGCTTGGAGTCTGTACTGAAGACGCATAAAAAGCATGTCCATGCTTTAAAGTTCATATATATTACTCATAAAATACCAATTATCTTCTGCAGAAGCTTCCATGCAAAAATATCACACACAGCACTCAATGGAATTTATTTCGGCTCTTCTTTACCATAAGCCAAGTAGCACGGTGAAATACACGCATGCTGGTAGTAATATTTCTCATCTGCAGGTTCAGAAACAAATCCTTTTTGAGTCACTGTCAGAAACGATTGAGAGTAGGCTGTCCTCCAGAAACCTTAATTGCACGCATTGGTGCAGCAGCCCAGACTCTTTCAGGTTGCTGCATGTCAAGCCGGAGCAGAGCACGGACAGTTTCCTTCTTACCTTTTAGCTGCTCCGGATCCGTAACGTCGCACTGGATGAACACCGTCCTCTGAGCTTCAAACTGCTCATCCAGGACCGCCTTGCTCTCCTGCCCGGCCTCGGAGTTGCGGTCCAGCAGGGCCACCTGAGCGGGCAGGAAGGGAAGGACTTTTTTCGCCCCCCCGCCGAGCCGAGCCCGAGGGGCTGCCACCGCCCCGCGGCCGCGGGTATCGAACGGAGGGGAGGGGCAGGGGACAGAGCGAAGGGGGCGCTTCCCGGGGCTTACCTTCGCGCCCTTGCCTAGCAGCGCCTGAACGAAAGCCCTGCCGATACCCTGCGCCCCGCCAGTGACCAGGGCCACCTTGCCATTGACGTGCATGGTCGTCGCGCTGACTGCCACCGGCCCCGCGCCCTCCGAGCCGGAGCAACTTAGCGCAGTGTCACCTGCCCGCTTCCCTCTCTCCTCCACTCCCTTCCTCCTGCCCTCCCTCTTTTCCCCGTCCTCCTCCCGCTGCCGCCGCCGCTGCTCGTTCCCCCCACTCCCCTCTCGTGTGACCGACAGCCGCCCGGAGCTACTTGGGCGGGGGGGGAGAAGGGGTGGAGCAGGTCATTAAATCGTTCTCCCCAGCGCCTGGATGAATCCCAGAGATCAAGAGCCAGAGAGGAGACCAGCTTCGTTCCCTCTCCAGTCCCTCGGGATTTCCTGGCCAGGACCGGCTTCCGCCCAGGGACGCCCTGGGGAAGGGGTCCTGGGGCAGTTCCAGCCCCTATCGGGAGAGGAGGGGAAAGAGCCTTTGCGCCTCCATAAATCGCGTGAGAAGCAGCTACAAGCTTTGATAAGCACTCTTGGCAGCTTCCTAAGGCTGTTTGCTTTTTGGTCGGCTCAAGTTGTATGAGCGGCAGGTTGAGGAATTGAGACAAAGTTCAGTCTCAATAATACCAAACATAGAGCCTTTTTTTATACTCTTCAAAATACCCCACTGGCCTTCTCCCTCTCGTTTGGCCAGTAAGTAGAATCTGTATGAAAAAGGCAGTCATTGAACACTGTGACTATTAGACATGTCAAGAGAAGTGCTTTCTAGAAATTTTCAGGTCTATGTAGAACATAGCTTGTACCTTAAAAAATGTTTAGCCACTTCTACAGCTTATAAGCGAAATTCTGTTACATAATGTGAATATAACAGGTAACTAAAGTTTATAAATACTAAGATATATATACAGCCATACAGCTGAAATAAGAGCAACCTTAATCATCTGAAAGCTGAAATCAATTTTCTTGTTTGTTAGCCTGTTACTGGATTAACAAATTTTATCCAACAGAAAACATAATGTTGTGGAACGTTGGGTAGATGAGAAAATTCAATTGTTCCAGACCTGAGCTCTACAAATGTATTTACATCATGTATGTGCCTGTGTGTGCTTACATGCACACTTTTTGAGTTTCCTGTTTTCTTTTGCCTGGTGTATCAGGTTTAATCTTTTTTGCTTGTGTTTTGAAGGCCCTGAAGTATTCTGACTCAGGCTTCATTTCTATCATTAATCTCTGTTGTCATTTTTCCTTGTTTCTCAGTAACAGTATAGCTATTTTGCCCTGTCTCTTACCCCACCTGCCTGCTTCCTTCTAGGCTGCCTTAGTGTATGGAATTCCTTTCTTTTGCATTACCTAGAAGAAACGAATTGTATTGCTACTAACACCAGCAAACTGTTAGAGAACCATTAAGGTAACTATGTTACCTAATTGACTAAATTGAGTAACACAAGATCTTGTTATTATAACCTTTGTCCTTAAAAATGTGAACTAATGTAATCCAGCTGCTAAATTGGATAGCAGCCGTTTAGTTTCCTAAAGATCATGATTCACAGCACTTCATAAAAGCAGTCAGAGCTGGCCTCTGGGATTAGTGATTTGTTTGAATATGATACCTGTATTTCTGGGAGAGCTCCAGATTGCTTTGGAGCTGTGAAATTTGTGCCACCTAAGCTGCCATGCCTAATGAGCTCTTTTCCAACCAGCTGAGCCAGCTTCCCTAATTTGTTGAGAGACAAGTACAGTGCCAGGTTGAAGGCACATCATGAGAACAGTGTTACCACACAGACCTAACAAAAGTACTACAGTGGAGTATTTCACCCTCAAAACAACCCTGATGAGCACACTTGCCCCCCCACCCCAACATTTGGCCAATTCATGATCAACATCTGTTATGATCTTTATTTCCACAAAGCATTAGTATTTTTTAACTGCTATGCAAAGGAAAAGATCAATAAGCTCCTCTGTCTTTCCAAACATCTGTTGCTGGAATGATTTTGGCAACTGTTTTCTAAATTGTTGATAACTTGGCATGAATGCTAAGAACAATCTGGACTCTTCAGAGGTGCTGCAATGTCTTAAGATCTCAGTGCAAACGCTGTTTCCGTAAAACAGATCTTATAAGTCTTTGTCACAGAGATCAGCTTGGTTGAATATAAATGTGGATATCATAGGTTGAAATAATTTAAAAGAATTGTGATAAACTGACCTAGGGTTTCTAACTCTGGTTTTATTGGCTGAATGGACTCTATACATTATTACATTCAAGAATCTAGATGACATATTTTGCAAGACGGCAAAAAGGGTCCATGTTGATACTCATAACCATAGCAAAATATATTTGAAATTAGAGACAGTGTTCCTAGTTAGAACAGCATGTGCCAATCCTCCAGACATCCTGGCCCATTTCAGGAATAGTGTGGCCAGCAGGAGTAGAGATGTAATTCTCCCTTTGTACTCAGCACTGGTGAGGCCTCACCTCGAGTACTGTGTACAGTTCTGGGCCCCTCACTTCAAGAAGGATATTGAGGTGCTGGAGTGGGTCCAGAGGAAAGCAATGAGGCTGGTGAAGGGACTAGAGGGAAAGTCTTATAATGAGAGGCTAAGGGAGCTGGTGTTGTTTAGCCTGGAGAAGAGGAGACTCGGGGGAACCTTATCACTCTCTAGAACTACCTGAAGGGAGGTTGTAGTCAGATGGAGGTTGGGCTCTTCTCCCAGGCAACTAGTGACAAGACAAGAGGTCATAGCCTGAAGCTGCTAACCAGAGGAGGTTTAGGCTGGATATTAGAAAGCACTTTGTCACAGAGAGGGTGATCAGGCATTGGAATGGACTGCCCAGTGAGGTGGTGGAGTCACCATCCCTGGAAGTGTTTAAGGAAAGGATGGATGTGGCACTTAGTGCCATGGTCTAGCTGATGTGGTAGCGTTAGGTCATAGTCTGGACTTGATGATCTCAGAGGTCTTTTCCAGCCTCAATAATTCTGTGATTCTGTGAAGGATGGCTCTGTGATTTACCCCTGGAGCCAGCACAGGTTGCATGGCTGTAAGGGATATGTGCGCTCTGCTCCTTCAAACTGCATTGGATTTGCTACCAATGCAGAGGTACTCTTAAGAACTTTGTTGCAACATAGTTCCTTACCACCCCAAGTTTGTAGCATGACCAACTATATAAAAGATAAAATATTGCCCATAGGAAACAGTTCTCTGTAGACATTTGCATTTTATAAATCCAGAGTTAGCACCTCAGTGTTCTTGCTGCAACTATGGGGTTGGGGAGTAAGGTGGTAGTTATGAAATATGTTTTCTCTGTGATTCATAAATTTTGAACCTTGCTTTCAGTTTTGAAGTTCATAAGTTTTGAACTGTGATTCACAAGTTTTGAACCTTGCTTTCAGTTTTCATGAAAGCTTTCACACAAGCATGAGGAGAGCCACTTTTTAATGTTTCAGTAGTCCACCTTTTCAGACAGTCTATCCTTAAGAAAAACTAGTTCCTGACTTCACATTAAAAATTAGAAGACCTGTCACAACGGGTAATAACATTCTATAAAGGTGAAAATGCCACAGAGAACAGTGACACCAAAGCGTGAAGAGACTCCCAGGTGGTTTTAATTTGCTTTTGAAAAAGAGGCAGAAATATGATCTCTCTCAGACTTTCAAAACAGACATTCTGTTCATTCAAAAACAATTTTTCAAAAAGCAACCCATGCGTCATTTTTGTTACGATCTCTTTATACTCTGCAAGTTACTATTGAAGTTGCTATGAAAACTAAAGAAGTGATCTCACTCCTGTGAATGGATTATTAGACAATGCGTTAGGAGGGCATTCAAACACAGTTACCAGAGCATGTGTACTTTGGTGTGTAGTTTAATGCATTTCCCCAAATTCTATTGAGAACAATGGGTGAAAACCCAAGCTAGAGAAATGCCCCAAATATCTACCTTTGCATGGGGAATTAAAAGACAGATTTCAGGTCACATACTTAATGTGATGTGACCAAACCTTCTTTAACAAGAAACTTAAGTGTTCAGCAAGTATAAGACAGTTTTCCACATTCAAGAGGTTTTTTTTTTTCATAATGCAATTTCTGTAGGATTTCTCTGTATCCACTAAATTAGAAAGGCAGCAATTGCTGCATAAGAAGATAAGGTTCTACAGCTAAGCTTCATTTCAGATATTATACCCAATCTGTGTATACAACATAATTCAGGAAAGAAAGGCTGGCTTCCAGAAATGTCAAATTAGAGGGCAAGAAACTGAATAAACAATAGGCTCAGAGATTTGCCAAAATGTGGGTTTTTTTACAACACAACATCATATGAGCACCTGCTAGGTCAGTGGCTAGATTATTTTGCTCATCCAGGACAGCAGTAGTACATGCATGAATATGTCATGTACCTGAGGGAGATAAGAGAACACAGAATACATCAAAGCAGAGTATAAGAAAATAGTTATGAAAAGTCTATGGACTAGAACTCATAATATATGAGTTGTTCAAGATGTCAAGACTTCCACAGTGAGATTTGGAGGGAGACACTAAAACATAAACAGAGCACTGGAACAGGCTGCCCAGAGAGGTTGTGGAGTCTCCTTCTCTGGAGACATTCAAAACCCGCCTGGACGCCTTCCTGTGCAACCTCATCTAGGTGTTCCTGCTCCGGCAGGGGGATTGGACTAGATGATCTTTTGAGGTCCCTTCCAATCCCTAACGTTCTGTGACTCTGTGATAAAGCTCAGTGGTTGTCTGTCTTTTCAAAAATAGTGGACAGGATAGTAGAAAGCATAATGCATTTTTTTGAAAATAGGAGAAATAAAAATTGAAGCTAGTAGTTTTTACAGAATAAAAATGGAAGTTAATGCCATAGCAGTATATGACAATAAAAATGCTTGGTTTAGTAGTGTAAGGAGGATCATAAAGTGAAGACTAGGTAATTTTGTTTTATAAAGTGGAAAAGGGAAGTCATTGGAGACACTAAATCAGTAAATGAGAAACTTGCACAGTACAATTTCCTGATTTATAAGAATGCCTAAAAAGTGTGCAGTTTTTGTGAAAAGATTTGTCAGAGCACATG